ATTTCCATGTGCATTATTCCCCTTGAATTTGACAATTTACTCCCAACAAACCAACTGCCGTTAAAGAAGTTTCATTTCATAAATTCAAGAAATGTTCTTACCCTTTTAGTTACCCTAGTTCTTATGTATCTGTCATTGTCTTCATTTTCGTCTTTACCTTCACTTTTGCCTTCTTTTTTTTGACTTCATCGTTGTCATTTATTTCTTCATCTTCATATTTATCTTTATTTTTGCATATTCCTCTTCACCTTTACCTTAAACCGGTAAACCGCTGAGAACTATTTCCATGTGCATTATTCCCCTTGAACTTGACAATTTACTCCCAACCAACCAACTGCCGCTAAAGAAGTTTCACTTCATAAATTCAAGAAATGTTCTTACCCTTATAGTTACCCTAATTCTTATGTATCTGTCATTGTCTTCATTTTCGTCTTTATCTTCACTTTTTTTTTTTACTACATCGTTATCATTTATTTCTTCATCTTCATATTTATCTTTATTTCAAAGCTTAATTTCAAATGTGTAGTGAAACAACAGGCGAAACATGTAAAATTGAACATGTTGCAGCAACATGTATACACAATTCGAAAATGTTTAAACGACGGTTTTGGCCGTAATTTTCAACCAATTGTGAAACCATAAAAACTCTGCTCATCTTCTGAAAAATGCCTTTTCAACGGTGTTCTTGGTTTTGAAATCGGTTCGGTAGAATCGCCAAACGAACGGGGACAAAATTTATGTTAGCGTATTAATATATAGATATCAAACATAATTGTTATTTTGGGATTTGTAAAATCAAAATCAAAAATAATTGTTATTTTTTTTAATTTTGCACAAAAATTACAAATAAAAACTTTTTTTCAAACATGATTCTAAACCGAAGGAACCGATTGGTATGTATAACTTAGTTGTAGACAATTTTTTTTTCATTGTGAATTTTTCAATGACAGTTTTCATCAATAACTGTTACGTTGGGTCCCTGGTTTATATTATAGAATGCCCATATGAAAATGATGTGAAAATGTTCATGAAAATAATTATGAATTTTATATTAAAACAAGGTGTAAACTTTCATTTGTCACCTAGTGTATATACATATGTATATGTTGCTGTGCCCACGGCTGTGTATGTGGCTGTGGCTTTGCCTATACCTGTGCCTTTACCAGCGCCTTTTGCTTTGGCTTTCGCTAAGCTTGACTTTGAGGACGACAAAAACGATGAAATTGCAATGAGACAGAATCAAATTAACGATCTTGTCGTTAGTAGTATACTACCGCCCGCGTACATTTTTCGTTGGTTTGTTGTAAACATTTTACGATCCATTTTTATTCCATTGAACTTGTTCGACTGTAATGTTCGATCGCTTTGATTAACAACACATTTTCATTGACTCCAATTCATTGCTGGTATCGTTGGTTGATTGTTTGCAAATTTCTTTAAACTTGTAAGAATTCAATACCACCAGCGGCATCTACGCAAGTGAAAAGGGGGAAATGATCATAGCTGCTTCGAGCTTCGAGGAGCCCAGCAAGATTTGTTCGACTAATTTTGTGTAATACTCACAGAGGACCGGACGTTGTTCGGGGACCATATATAAAAATCTACAATATGGAATACATATTAACATTATGTACGAACAAAGTGTGTGGGTATGCATCAAAAACGCCCGAACTCTCTACAAGGAAGGTGCATTGGATGTCCTCGCCAAAAACTAGGCGGACACTCCGTAGTACAGGAAACGCGATTAATGGGCATGCATGTAGCTGCACGCGACATTTAGTACAGTTGACATGAAATGATACACTAATTTGGTGAGGGATTTATGTTTAGTTGGACTCAACTCTATAAGTGTATGAATTTTCACCAAACGCGTCAAGGCTAAAATCAACAACACCAGCCTAATTTTTGCGCACGCTGCGACTGAGAGAAGGATGGTGAGACCAAACAGCCTTGAAATTATTATACATATGAGTGCAATCGTAATCGTGCTTGGCAGTTTCAATGCCAGAGGGATAGGTTAGGTTAGGTTGGGTTATCTTGGCTGTCCCCATCTAGCACTGGAGGAGGACATACTTAGACCAATGTGGGTCCATTGCGATGCAATACTAGGGACTCCTTACATCGCTTCTCATAGCTTAAAGGTAAAACCAATGTGTAAGACTAACGGACCGCATAAAATCGTCGATACTAGCTGCATCCTGTTCAACCAAACATTCAAAGCAATAGTGAAGAAACGAGCGCCAACAATGCAGGACAGTTAAAGTAAAGCTATCGAATCTGTTTCTTCTAAGAGGAACTATTAAAATAAAACTCAGATAAATTTTTTAACGTTGGGAAAAATAGTATAAAAACCCAACGATGTTTATTTGGCTGAATTCAAATTACTACTACTCTTACATTTCTATTTCTTACATTCTTCTTGCTCTCGACATTCATTTATTTTGACATTTCGTTGATGCCACATCGCACCCAATTCGCTCAATTCTTAACAATCCCCCCGAAAAACCATCAGTTTTTCCAATGCTATGGCATTGGCCAGTTCTCAGATTCTATTTCTCTTCTGTATCTATCGGCAGGATACATATCTTTTGTACTGGCCTGTGTAAAATGTTCATCGCAGTTCGAATTGCCACTGAGCGTACCAAATTATCCCTACTGGGATGAAGCTCTATTATACGGCCTATAGCCCATTGCGCAGGTGGAAAATTCTCACTCTTAATTACCACCAACTGTCCTAAGCGCACTCGCTCCGATTCTCGTCGCCACTTCTTGCGCTCCTGTAGTGTTGTCAAATACTCGTTAGGCCATCTGACCCAAAACGCGTTGATAATAGCCTGTCTCTATTTCCATTGTTTAATGCCTTTAGCTATTGAACCCTCTGGAATTGCGAACGGTAGCGGAAGAACAAGAGGTTCTCCGATTAATAGATGATCAGGTGTCAAGACTTGAAGATCGGATGGATCGTCATTCAACTGATGTAAAGGGCGGGAATTGAGTATCGCTTCGATTTGAGTAAGTAAAGTTGATAATTGCTCAAAGGACAGTACTCGCAAACCAACAGCTTGAATTAGATGATGCTTCACCGACTTTACTGCAGCCTCGTAAATTCCACCCTGGTGTGGCGCTGCAGGAGTCATAAATCGCCATTCCGTACCTTTCCCACTCAAATACTGAAATACCTCCTTTTTGTACCACACCTCCATTGCCTTACGTATCTCTTTCGCTGCACCCACAAATGCTGTGACGTTGTCGCTACAGATTCTTTCGCAGCGACCTCGACGAGCAACGAATCGTTCATAACAGGCAATGAAAGCCACTGTCGATAAGTCTGTCACCACATCCAGGTGAACTGCTCTTGATTTGAGGCATACAAAAACTTCAATCCACACTTTCTGTTTTATAAGCTGATTCCCATCCCTGTCAATCATTTTAATCTCCATCGGCCCGGCATTATCCACTCCTGAATGCAGAAAAGGCTTACCTGCTCTTACTCGATCAGGAGGTAGATCCGCCATCATTTGAACCTCAGTACGGTGATTATGTCGTACGCAAATAACGCATCTGTGCAGATATCTTCTCAGTGCACTACGAAGGCGCGGAACCCAATAATTCTGGCGAATAAACTGCATCATGATCTGAACCCCGCCGTGTTTCGTTTCTCTATGTGCGTGATCCATTATTAACCAGGCTAATCTTGAACCGTCCGGAACTATGACTGGGTGTCGCATGTTCTCATCCAAATTTGAATTTTTTAATCGACCGTACACTCTGAGCAGTCCATGCATCGTCACAGGTTTCAACGATTCAATCTTACTCTTTTCTGGAACTCGTCTACTATCATCCAAATTCGTAATCTCCTTGTTGTAATATTGCACTTGCTCTTGTCTCAAGAGATATTTCATCGCTTGCGCTCTGTGGTCATTATCTGGCACTATATGCAAAATTTCTCTTCTCTTAGATCGCCTAACTGCTAAACGAACTTTCAAATTTGATATGAATTTAAACAGATACGCTACAATATCTATCGCCCTGTTTAATTTGTCGACGTATTCAATTAACGGAACTCTATTTATGTTTGTACGCGTTGTAATCCGGATTGATTCTACAAACTCTGTCACCGCAAAGGCTCTAACTTCAACTTCAGCCTCCCCCACAGGCAGAAACACACACTGCGGCCACTTGTCTGAAGTTAGTGATAACCAGTCCGGACCTTGCAGCCATAAATTGTTATGTATGATTTCTGACGGACTCATGCCACGGCTTAGTAAATCAGCAGGATTATCCTTCGTGTTAACATATCTCCATCTCTTCACATCAGTATTTGTTTGTATCGATGCTACTTTATTAGCGACAAACGTCTTCAGGTTTCGCGGTATCTTTTTTATCCAATGTAGCACCACCTGCGAGTCTGTCCACAAAGTGTAGTCAACTTTAGTAAATTCCATTGCTTTTATTACATAAACAAGTAAACGTGATAATAATTCTGCGGCCGCTAATTCCAATCTCGGCACTGTAATTGCTTTCATTGGTGCAACACGTGTTTTTGATGTTAGTAATGTATTTTTCACCTGTCCATTTCTTGCACAACTCGTATGTAGATTACAGCACCATATGCCATCGTTGATGCATCAGAAAATCCATGTATTTCAGTTTCCTTATCTATGTCTGTAGCAATCCATCTGTCCAGCGTAAATTCTTCAAGACGTCCGATGTCCTGCCAATAATTTTTAAACCTTATCGATATTTCTTCAGGTACAGGCTCGTCCCAATCTAAACCAATACGCCACAAATCCTGTATAATAATCTTGCCTAAAATAGTTACAGGGGAAATGAAACCATTCGGGTCATAGAGCTGAGCTTCACAGCCTAAAACCTTTCTCTTGGTGATCACACCTTCTAGCTCTGGAGTCTTGACGATAAAGGTAAACTGATCCTGGTTGACCTTCCATCTCAACCCTAAGATCGATGCTTTCTCTTCATCCACAAACATGATTCTTCTTCTGATCTCATTTCCTCTACGAGCCTTTTTGAATTCGATTTCCACTTCTTCATTTCGAAACCACCACCTTTTAGAATATGATCAATGTCTTTTGCTAATCTTATCGCCTCACTTTCATTCCTGGATCCGGTGGCGCAATCGTCCATATATAAATCATTCTCAATGACTTTAGAGGCGTCTGAGTGGTCCTTTGCCGCATCCCTCGCACACTGTATCACTGCTCGAACAGCATTAAATGTTGATGATGTCATACCGTATGTTACGACCTTCAACCAATATTCTCCTATTGGATCGTTTGTACTATCTCTCCAAAAGATTCGCTGCAAATTCCATTGCCTTTGGACTATTCGCACTTGGCGGAACATCATTTTTATGTCGCCTATGATACCAATTTTATGCCTACGAAACCCTAGTACTATCTCCGCCAAATCACGTTGCAACTTTTCACCTAGCAGTTGTACTTCATTGAGAGAAATACCCTTATCTGTGCGGCAGCTAGCATCGAACACTACCCTGAATTTTTTCGTCACACAGTGATGCGGAATATAATAAACCAGTTCTCCTGGTTCAGCTGTCCTCGACACCAGCTCCATATGTCCCACCCGCTCGTATTCTTTCATAAAGTCAGTTTTGTTTGTTTAGCTCAGGTCTTTATCTAATCTTCTCTCTAATAACGTAAATCGACGCAAAGCTATCTCTTTTGAACTACCAATGTCGCCAATGTTCTCTCTCAATGGAATCGTAACAGCAAACCTGCCCGAAGCATCTCTTGTATATGTTTTCATAAATATATTTTCCACACTTTCTTATACTTCCGTCCGCTTTGAGAACGCGGCTACCTGATCAAGCCGCCAGAATCGCCTGACCAACTCACCCAGTTCTTCAACACTTGTGCAACATGAATATGAAATCATATCCCGTGTTTCAATACCGCTTTGTCTCTCATGCGCTCCACAGACTACCATACCCAAATGTGTCTCGAGATAAATCATGCCATTAGAGTCATGTGAATGTACGGCGATCAAAATCTTTGCAAAAATTTTGACATTGAGCACCACTTGCACTATGCCGGGTGCCCAATATTCTGGATCAGCGAGTGGTGCAGCAAATGTAGCTGACACTGGTTTCAACTCGCAATCAGCATTTGGTAGCATTGGTTGCCAATTGTTTTCCTTACGTAGAACCCAAAATTCTTCCTCTATGTATCCATCTGATTGGAACCACGGTCTTATCTTAAGAACTGTGCGTCGATTGACTCCAAACGACTTCCCCTCTATACCGACCATGCCACAGAGACAAGCAGCAACAAAGCTTGGCTGTGCGCCACAATCTAGCAGCGCTCGAACTGGCCCGAAAATCTGACCATAGTAGTTTACACTGGAGTTTATTTCTTTCTAACCCCTTTCATTACGATCTTTCTCTATGCCACTAAGCGATTTACGTTTTTTTACTAATTGTTGTTGTTTGTCTAGTAAACTCATTTGCATGTCGACTTTCTTTATCTCTTCATTAATAGTGTCAAGATCATCTGCGAAATTTGATTGTACAGGGTGAGCATACCCAACTTCCGAACTCCGATGCCGTTTGGCGCTTTGAGCTCCGCATTTGCCCTTGACCTTACGTCTGCGATGACTATCTTCAACCTTAAGCGCTAGTGCTTGTTTTGACACTTCCCTCATTGGACAAAGTAAGCTGTTATGTTTAATCTGCCCTGGACAACGAGAACACCCATTCTGAAAACAATTACCAGCTCCGTGCCTTTTCTTGAAACAATTCTGGCAGATATTGTTGCTTCTTACAAAATCCTCACGAGATCTTAAGTTGAGCGCAACAAAATCATCACACATCCATAGTGGATGATCACCACTACAGGCGACACATGGAAATGATCTCTTACCTAACAATCTGCTTTGGTTCGAAATTTCACCTTTCGTTATACGTTCACGTTTACTACCTGTGCTTCGGTCATTGTTATAAACTGCCTTGCCGTCTTGTGGTCGTAAATTTCGTAGATCTGCAACATTAACTAAGGCAGCTGCTTGACGATCCATGAAATCTAGCATTTGTTTAACAGTCGGTGTTTCTGTCTCTCGTTGCAGCTCCCACTGCTTACTGGTATCAGGATCTAACCTTTCATGCAGCATATGAACTTTAATCATATCCCAAGCATCGACCGGAATTCCTTGAGCTCGGAGCTGTCGTAACACTTCATGTGTCACGTTGGACATTCGCTGAAGCTCATGAGCCCGTGGGGCCCCTCCTATAACTGGCAAACGAATAAACTGCCGTAAATGTTCGCGACAAATTGGATATTTGCGGTCATACAGCTGCTTGAGCCGCTCCCATGCCTCTATATAATTATCATCTGTAAGCTGCCATTCACCTAGTGTTTATGCAGCTCTACCAATGAGCGACTTTTTTAAATAAGAAAATTTAAAGGCTGGCGAAACATTCTTATTTTGATGCATGGCAGCGGAAAACCGGTCACGGAACCCAGACCACATAGTTAATGTTCCGTCAAAATTACCCCAAGTATTTTTTAAGTCATGCTGTTGATATGGTATGTTTACCTGGACCGCGAAGGGCTGCTGCTCATGCAAAATTGGCGCTGACACAGGTGTGAGCTCCTTAATCTTAACAGCCAACAGGGCTTGTGCCGTAAAATAGCGCGACTCCACTAAAGCTGCGATGTCGTCATATGTACTTGCTTGTGAAGCATCTTGATCCAACTGCTTCTCATGTGTATCTACATATCGTCCATAATAAGCTTCCAGCTTCTCAGCGCGAACTTTCACTTGCTCCAGCGTTGCCTTTTTGAACTCGGCATGTTGGCAATATTCCATGATGAGCGAAATTGACTTGCATAAACTGTCCAAAAGATCTTGTCCTCCCATTCTGCAGTCTATACAATAAAAAGAATATGTTAATTTTCCCATTTCTAATCTTTATACACTTTTCTCTACTTCTACAAAAAGTAGAGTAGATGGACTCACTGTCTTTCAACAATCTCTCGTCAAAATAATAATAAATATTTTCTCTATTTACTAGTAAATATTACTCAAAATTTTAGCGCGTTAGTTTCTTGTCAAAAACTGTCCTTTTTACGATTAACCAAATAATTTCATCATCAACGCTTCTTAGACGACGCCAGAATCTATCACGATACGACTGCTATTCTTTCATTCTGATACCCTTTCACTCTATCTTATATGCAAGCAATCTAGAATATCATCCAAATGGATTTCAATTCCAGAACATTCGCTATTTTTCTTGTCTCTTGACGCCGTCGTATTGCCGTGTGTATGCACTGTTGGCAATTTCTCTGTATCTCTTAAAAGGTGCAACTATCTGTCGTCACACCAAGCACATACATAAATATCTACCTCATGAGAAATAAATACCGTCTAGTGGACTGTAATACATAGTACATGCACATACACATATACGCAAATATATGTATGTATACGTATGGCAATACTTTTCTCATCCTCTTTCTTTCACATAATCCTTTCACAAATTCTATAGAATTCCATTCTCTTCGCTCTTTTCACCTTTACCATTTTCAAGGAATAATCATTTTTTCTTGCAACAATTCTCGCATCATCTGTCACAAATATTCTTAAAGATGATCAAACGAATTCCCCTCCGAGCTGCAATGTTTCAAAAGAGGTCGGTTGCCATTAATATAGTTGTTGTCACAGACGCGCATCCAGCTTATATTTCGTGCCCCTCTGAAACCATTCAAAAGCACATAAGCACACGTATATGTATGTGTGCATACACATACACAGCTCAACTCCTCCCCAACGAACACCATTACATTTCACAGAGCTTGCGCAAAGCTCGTTATCTATAAGCATGCGCACACAGATACGATGAAACAAAACCACCACTTACTCTGTTTCGCTGATTGAAACCACTTGAAATGCCAACGAGTATTCTAGCAAGCGATATGAATTTCGCCACATCAAATTCCTTTGCACACATGCATGTATGTATGCCGATCACGATTGAGAGAATACAAAGGTTGCGCCGATCTCGGACCGCTATTCCTCTCTCAACGAATTTGACAGAATCGTTGTTTGCATGACGTCACACTTGTGCAACTTGTTTACGTTTTCCTTGCAACATTTTTTCTTCTAATTCAACGTGTTACCGGAGTGTAGCGAGCTATCGAAATTTTTCGATGGCTCTCGAAAAATATGGAGATGTCAAAACTGAACGAGTTATCGAAATTGATAGAGGCGTCCAAAGTTCATTGAGTTATCGATTTATATCAATATACATATATACATTTTTCCGTTATCGAAATTTATTGAGCCCTCAAAATGCACAGTTATCTAGAATTATAGAAATTAGTGGAGTTGTCGAATGTGGTTGACTTATCGGATTTTAGTACTTTTAAAATTCATTGAATTACCGAAATGTAGCAAGTTATCGAAATTTATCGACAAACCGGAATGTATCGGGTCAATTCCAAGTCCTGCCAAAGTCTTCGAAACCTTCAAATACATAAAAATTGTAGTCACGGTTTAGTTCCAAAGCAGGAGATTTTCTGTTGAGTTATTGAGGATTTTGAGATTTCCTAACCTCAAAGTAGCAAAAACACGGTTTTGAGCCGATATTTGAGGTTATATTATGAGAACAAAAATATTTTTCTTGTTTCTATTTAAAGCTCTACATATGTATTTAGTACTACTCCTCCACTGTAAAATTAATTTACTTTTATTCGATTAGATTTTTTGGGTATATTTAAATGTGGATGATAATCCTCTCATTCTGACCATTGAAAATATCTGCGAAGCTTAGTCCTCTGAACCTTGAATAGACAGTTATTGAGGTTTCCTTTGTAAGAAATAAAATAAAATAAAAACTAAAGCCGCACAAATATCAGGTTTAGAAATATATTTGGAACAAAATTAATCTTACTAATATTATAAATGTGAAAGTTTGTATGTTTGGATGTTTGGGAAATCATCACGCGGAAACGACTGAACGGATTTGCATCAAATTTTGTACGCGGGTAGCTTATGGACCAGATTGGTTAATAGGCTATTTTTTTTTAAGACTTGCCACCTGTTACAAAAGTTTAATTTATTTAATATAAGGGAACGACTGAATGGATTTGCATGAAAATTTGCACACAGATAGCTTATGACTTAGGTTGGAAAATAGGCTACTCTTCTTAAGAGTTGCCACCTGTTAAACAAGTTTAATTAAATTAATACGCTGAAACGACTGAATAGATTTGCATGAAATTTTGCAAGCAGATAGCTTATGATCTACAGTGGAAAATAAGCAAATTTTTTGGAAGAGTTGCCACCTGTTAAAAAGTTTAATTTATTTAATATGCGGGAACGTCTGAATGGATTTGCATGAAAATTTGCACACAGATAGCTTATGACTTAGATTGGAAAATAGGCTACATTTCTTAAGAGTTGCCACCTGTTAAAAAAGTTTAATTAAATTAATACGCGGAAACGACTGAGCGGATTTGCATGAAATTTTGCACAAAGATAGCTTATGGCCTAGGTTGAAAAGTAGGCTACTATTTTTTAAGAGTTGCCACCTGTTAGAAATGTTTAATTTAATTAATAAGCGGAATGGAGTGAACTGATTTGCATGGAAGTTTTCACACAGATAGCTTATGACCTAGATTGGGCAATAGGCCACATTTTTTAAGAGTTGCCACCTGCTAAAAAAAAGTTTAATTAGATTAATACGCGGAGAAGTCTGAACGGATTTGCATGAATTTTGCA